CAGGGTTGGCCCTGAGGAAGGCCGGAAAGTTGCCCTAAGTCTAAAGCACTTTCCGTCGGGGACCCATAGAAAAGGGTGAGAAACAGTCAGACAAGTCTGGGAGGAAAAGAACAAACTCAAAGCCAAGATAAAAGCTGCCATTGTTAACCTCCCCACGGGTCTCTCACCCACATCTGTTCCAACCAGGCCAGGACCAGGAAGCAAGTGCAGCTTCTTCACACGTCTGCTCCAGGTGCCTCCTCCAGGTTTCCTTACTCTCCATCCTTCCTCCTCCCTTCTCCAGTCTCCTCTCCAGCTTTTCCTCCCTGCTTAGCTCCACCCTACCTGGGTGGGGCAGGGAACCTGGAACCTCACCTTTTCTTGGGACCACCCTGTTACATTTGCAATAGCCAAGACATGGGAACAACTTAAGTGCCTCAAAACAGATGAGTGGATCAATCAAGCAAACGTAATTTGCCAGGGAACATAAGCTTGTAACTTTGAAAGCCAAGTCCAGCCAATTCCACATCACCGCTGTTAGTACTTGGTCCCAGGGCCACACCTCTCCTCTGGCCACCCCTGCTGCATAGGGTTCAAGCCAGACCTTGTTGCCGCCTTCTTGCAACACCTCCCATTTCTCTCAGTGTACAACCTAACAGTCGCGGGATAATGCCCAAATTACCCACTCGTGCTCGTTAACCTAGGCCCTGGGCATGCTGGGGTGGGGGGTGCCTCCTGAATCCTGAAGCATAAAAGCCCCAGTGCCCAGTGGTCAGGTCCCTCTCCCAGGACACTCCTCATCCCCCCAGATCTCTGCTCACTCACCTAGAACGCAGCTGCCCATGGAGAGCCCACACAACTGCTCCTGTCCCCAGTTCTCTCCCAGTAAGGGCTCCTCCAGATGCTCAGTGGTGTGAAAATGGGGCTCACGGGCTTTGACAGAGAGCAGTGCTGGTTTCCAGGCTGCCCTGTACCCCAAAACCACATGTACCTCAAAGACCACATGTATCTCAAAGACCACAATTTTTGGCGAAGGCATGAAGAATCCGTGATCTCCTAAAGTATGTATAGGACAAAAGCTGGTCACCTACCTGACGACGATCGCCGACATTGGAGTATTGGGGGTGCTCTTCTGGCATTTACTCCGGTTTGCAGTGTTCATGATGTTTCTCTGCCACAGGGGCATACTGCTCGGCTTTGGGCTCAGGTTAATCTCCTTTGGATACTCATGTCTTTTTAAGACTCTTTCTAATCCAGAGAGTTCAGGATCCTCACCTAGGAATAGAATAAGCAATTCAGCGTTTCTGCCCACATCCACATTGGTGTTACCTTGAGAGAGAATGTTTATGCCATTTGAGAACTGCTATTTAATGTTAATATTCCTTCATTCCAACAATATTACTGAGGGACATTTTCACCTTAGCCTGATCCTTGACAGCAAATAGGGGCACAGCAAAGGAATGAATGAACAAGCAAATGAATAAACAGATGTGCCAGTCCCCGTTATAAATACTGAAGGTAATTTGTGTAGTTTGTGCATGATTTGTAAACTAATGGCAAGTGATGGTACGGTTATTTTATCTTCGAGGACGTTAACCACACTGTGCGTTTGCGTCACATCCACTGCTACATCTTGGCCTCAGTGACCCCCCCCCAAGTTGCCCATCTGCAATGAGACAAAGAGCTGTGCCGCGGACCAGCACAGCAGTAGACGATGAGGCCGTCTCAGGGTTGAGAGACTGCGCAGGGTGGTCAGGGATTCGGTTAAAGAAATGACAAACAGACACACTTCAAGAGTGAAAATCTGAGTGTAATTTTATTTGAGTTGGTGACCAGTATATATATGTTTTCTAAAAGCATAGGAATGGCGAACATCAGTGAAGAAATCAGCTTGCTTATAGGTTTAGCTTATCATTGACAGGGCAGTGATTTACATCTGGACCCAGGCGCATTCCTAAGTAGTTAGGCTATTAATTTTTCTTTTTGTTTTATATGATTACTTTTTGTTTTAACTACTCACTATTACTATTAATTAACACAGGTGAATTTTACTTTTCACAATGTAATATTTTTATCATTTAGATTAATACTAACAAGGCTAAGTATACAACAGAGAAATTATTAAGCTAGCAGTTCTATTAATACACAGAGTTTAGTAACGTTTCATTTGAATCAGCCTAGTTATTAGATTTTGTATGTTCTTTTTTAATCGGCAAACCAATGACCTTTTAAACAGAGAAAGAGAAAAGATTTTAGAGAGACAGTTGTATTAGAATAAAGTTTGTGGGTCTAGAGAAGGTGAGATAAGTTTCCGCGGACAGCATTCCTGTAGTGGCTTCTGGTGGTCGTTATCTTTCAACAGGCTTCCGTCTTATCTATGTCTTCAGGCGGTTTTTTGCTGTTCTCCTCCTGCGCGCTGGTTGCCCAGCCGGACCTAGGGATTCCTAGAGGTCACTGCAGGAGGAGGTGCAGCAAGTATATCTTCAGGGGGTTTTGCTGTTCTCCGCCTGCGCGCTGGTTGCCCAGCCGGACCTAGGGACTGTGGCGCAAGCCATTAGCCCTAAGGGTCACTGCAGGGGGAGGTGCAGCAGGTCCTCCTTTGTTTTTTTTAAAACGGAGTTGGTAGGCGTACATGTCACGTTGAAGGCGGTAGATCGACCTGTGAAGTGAGCGGACACAGAGGGGAGTTAAAAGACAAAGGAGAAGGACAAGTAGGGAAAGAGCAATGAAGGAAAGAACAAGATGATACCAGTGAGTTGGAGTCAAAGATTGGAGAGTAGAAGCTAGAGAATGGGCAAAGGAAGAGACTGAAGTATCCAGATGAGATTTACTGACAGCAGAGATTTCAGATTGGAGAGACGAGAGGTCATGAGAAAGGTCATTGTTACGCCAGATACCCAATAGGTGATGTTTGGTAAGATTCCAATGTAAGGAAGAGTTATAACGCAGAGGCGTAACGCAAATGAAACGAAACTGAGCATGGCATCGAGTAGACAGTTGTTTGAGGAGTTGAACCTCATCGCCAATAGCAATAACAATTTCTTCCAGAGCATTTAACTTTCTTTCCAACTTGTAGTCAATGTCCCGCTGTGTAGAGAGCGCCATGGACACATTTTTGGTAAGGTCATTCACAAAAGAAGCTGTCTTAGCTTCCTGAATTAAAGCAACAGAGGAAGCAGCTAAAGAGGTAACTAAGGAAATTAATGCAGCAATACCAAGAATAAGAGCAACAATAAAACGTTTAGGACGAAGAAGAGCATGCACCTCATCCAAGATTTGCATGGCAGTATTATCATACCAAGGCATATCATGTAAATCAACAGGTAACATAACATAGGGGGGTCTTTTGAGCAAGACCACCACAGGATATAGACGAGCAAGAGAGGGGGTAATACAATTAGTAACCACACAACCGGAACATTGGACAGAATAAGAGTTCCCACGGGATTGGATACGTGTGGATGAAGCATTTCCCAGGAGCAGAGCAAAGGGGTATCCAACGCAGGCACGCACTGGGATCTTAGCGGTGTCCTGTCCAGGTTGTTTGAAGTGTACATCATCAAAGGCAGTGAAAAGACGAAAGAGTTCAGGCTTCATGACAGAGCTTTCTGTCCAGGGAACCGGGTTATTCAGTCCTGCCAATGGAGGCAAGCTTCCTCATCATTTTCAGAGGTCTCTGGAACCCTACGAACAAAGCAGTAGTTTCTCCACATTTTAGTTTAGCTCTATGTTACTCCCTGGAAGAATTGTACTCAAAGCCACACAAAAGGTTAGCTCTGCTAGAAAAAGAAAAAAAAAATATATATATAACATTGCTGTAGAGTCTGGTCAGTCAAAACAAGAAAATTTTGTTGAATCAAGGCAAAACGTAAAAACATTTTCAATGTTATGTCAAACAAAACAGTAAAAATCAGGTGTATTTTCAACAGTCTATACAGTTCTTTGTAGAAAATTTTTACTCTCAAAAGTTTATCATTTTGAATCAATTGAGGCCTTTTTTTTCTTATTTTGTGTAGAAACAAGTCCTGCAGACATTAAACCATTGAAGTATATAATATTGCAAGGCAACAATAATTATTGACAATTTACATACATATTAGGTATTGAAAGATTTTGTTTTAGAAAACCAATGTTAACATTTTTGTACATGCCAAAGTTTTACCATTTTCCCAAGTGACAATGCTTCCCTTCCAGTTTTACTTTACTAGGTAAACCATATCGAACAAATTTATCTAACGGCTTTTCCCAGAGGAAAGGGAGAAAACTTGTGGAGTGTCTCAGGAGCTCTACTGAGGTTCCACAAAATTTCCTTGCATCAGCCAAATGACAGGCTACCAAATTTGTACTTGAATTTAGATTTCCGGGAAGCTTTGCCATAAATATTAGAAAAACAACAGAAACAACAATATTAAATTTCTATGAAGATACTGGCTTAGTTTAGTATTACAGTGTTGACAATTTTACTGAAATGGCCTGTGTGGCCACATGAAAGCAAGCTTTAGTATTAATCTTTTTTATTATGTGAATAAATTGATTAAATAATGCAATACAGTCAAATTTCCAACACATATCATTGTTTCTTTTCAAACCCATTATTTGCAGGTTTTATAAATCAAGGCAAATAAAATTCACTTCCCCTCAAACCTTCTACAACTTACTACATACCCTCAATTTTAGCTTTTTCTCTATTCTTCCACATTCTGGCACAACCAGATATTTTAATTTTAAGACAAAACTACTTTCCCTTTTCTTTTTATTTTACTTACTAGCAGTTATCAATTGCTCTCCCTCTTTTCTTCAGACACCACTAAAACTTTCAACAAATCATGATGTTGGTTTTCTTTCAGTATTCCAGAACACAAGGAGGTGCTTTGTGTGTTCACCACCCCAAAATGCTACTTAAAACATTGCAGATTTTTAAAATTGACTTAAAAACAGTATAGCTTGGTTTTAATATGACAAAAAATTTACATATATAAGTATATATATATATATATATATTTCTAGTTAAGGAAAGAATACTTTAAAGATACATTTACACAGAGTAGATTATTAATATTTAACACTATAACTTTAAGGATATATGCTTTGAATTATATCATAAGATTTGAACTAGCTCTTGTATATTAAAAATTTGGATTATGATCTCAAAATTTGTTTTTATTAGAACTTATATAGGCGCCGTTTATAACTAGTCCTCCGGAGGTAAAAAACAAAACAAACACAAAGAAAGACAAACAGATACAGAGATTTTTTTTTTTTTTTAATATACATTTAAAATTTTGGCCATGTGCATATATTTTGAAACACAATTATTTTACCAATATGTATGAAGATACTGAGGTTTTTAATGAGTTAACAGTTAAAATCTGTACACAGAATAAGTGTTTAATTTTAATTATTACCAAAGACTTTGGGCTGGAGACCACAGCAGTCATGGCAGTTTTTACTAATTATTTTTGATAAGAAAATATTTTTGGAGTTTACATTTTTAAGAAATGATTTTTTGGCTTTAGGTTGTTAACACATTATCTCACTGGGAACGGTCATATTTTAAAACATAAAAGAACACTGTTATCTTGAAAACAGGAGAAGAGATAAATTTTTACAGTCTGCCTGTAAAATTTGAGGTTTAGAATTTAGCTCAAAAATGTCTGTATTATTACTTTATGTTTTACCAGGTTAGTTTGTTTTAACAAGAAACTTAATTTTTTACAGGTCCAATAAATAAAATTAAAAGCTTTTATTTAACCAATAGCATTTTGTATAGTTTGTTAGCACGTCAAAAGTAACTCAGCAGTTTTACCTAAGACAATTTAGACTTTAAAATCAGAGAAACACAGGGAAATGGAACTTTTTTTTTTTTTTTTTTTAGAATGAACCAAAATAGTTATTTAAGGTGGATGGATAATAGAAAAGTTTAGTCCTTCACAGCAGGAAGGTAGTAGAGACCTGTCAGTGATCCCAACACTGGAGAAAAAGTTCAGGCAGCTGCTTGTTGAGATCAAGGGCAGCCTCCACCAGCCCACTGCAGTGGGTTTATACTATTTTAATAAAAACCTTTTAGTCATATTATAGTCATATAGTCTCATACACTCATATTTAACCATTTTTATCACTTTAACAATTGTGAATGAACTTTGAATACTATTATTTATAAATGCCTTATTTATTTATTTATTTATTTATTTTTAAAGAAACAAATGGCAAAACTTCACCAGGGGGAACCTAGCCTCTTCCCCAAATAATTAACAGGAAAAGATTGGAGCTTTTTTTTTTTTTCCATTTAAGATCATGTCACATTATCTCTTATTTGTTTTTGAGTTTTTATTTTTATCTCAACAATTTTAGTCAAGTCCGAGCTGGAAATTTGGGCTGGATTTTGGAATGGTTTTATAATTGGGAGTCAGATTGACTTTTGGCTTTTGAAAAACAATTTAACTATTTCAAGAATCCTGATCACTTTCTCTAATACTGCAGGCTATTTTCTCTTTTACCTTTTGTTTTGCATCTTTCATTTTGCCTCCAGCCAGGCAAAAAAAAAACGACCTATCTGTTTAGGTAATTGTTCTGTTGATATGGGGCTGTCAGCTGAGTCCTCTTTGATGTTATTTAGGGATACAGACAGCCATAAGTTTTTGAATTTTTTTTTTTTTTCAGGTCTAATTAGTTCTTTACAGAGGGAATTAGCATTTTTCCATGCAAGTTGTTTAAACAACAAATGTTGTACTCTGGAAGATGGAAGAACCTTATCCAGAGCATTTTTTAATCTGGCCACAAAATCCTGGTACATTTCATCCTGGCATTGGTGTATATCAGTAAGGTTAGCAGGCTTATGTTCAGGTGAAGGAAGATTTTTCCAGTCAACTTATTAATTTTGACTAAGACATCTTTTGGTAGGGCAGTCTGTCTGCGTACCTCAGTATATTTGTCTGTTCCCATGAACATAGAAAGGGAAATTTTCTCAGCCTTGACCTCATCATCATATTTTTTAAAGAAGGCATGTACTTGGTCCTCATATTCCATGCGAAATAATACATACATTCCCGAGGGAAGTACAGCCTTGGCAAGATTATGCCAATCATAAGGGGTCATCCAAGTGGCCGATAGCATGTCAATAATTTGATAAGTATAAGGGGAGTTATGACCTGTTGTCTGAACAGCTAACTGTAATTCTTTTAGGGTTTTTATAGGGATGGCCTCCCATGCAGGGCCATCGTCATCAGCACGAGTCAAAGTCGGAGGTCCGGCCACGGGAAAGGCAAATGAAAAATCTCCCGTCTTACTGGCCTCCCTTGCTGATCCTAGAATGCCACCCAGCGGCCCTCGATGGGCCTTGATATGATTAGGATTATTATCTAATGCAATTGTAGGTTTGGTAACAACTGGAAAAAGGTTAGCGGTTGGGCGGGAGGGTTTATCATTTTTGAAAGTCAATTTATCTAGCATTTCAGTATATTCATGATCATTAAACTCATCCTCTGACTGGGAAAGGGATTCCTTCAATACGGGAGCAGAGGCTTGAGCGAATAATGACGTGTTTGGATCATTATTGTTTTTAAGATTATCCTGAACTTCATCCTGTTGGCCTTCCCACAATTCTGCGTCAGTGGCATCAACCAGCAGATCTTTAACTTGTACCCACAAAGACAAAGCCTGTTTCGGAACCTGAGACGGTCCATGAAGGCCATAAAACTCTCTCACTTCTTTTTCTACTTTCTTCCAAGTTTCCAGTGACAGACTGCCTTCTTCTGGAAACCACGGGCATACCCGTAATATGAATTCATAAAGTTGCAGTAGAGCTTTTTTATTTACCTTAATACCTCGTGTTTCAATCATATTTTTTAATATAGATAGAAAAAGATCTCTATTTTTGGTCTGCTGTTGACCCATGGTCTCGTGGTGCTTTCGTTCACTCAAGCAGAGATTTCTTTCAACTGTGCTGTCCGGCCCGTGTCCCTCGCGGGAACTTGCGGAGGCGTCTTAGCTAAGGTCTGTCCGTATAAGTCCCGGACCAGGCTACTCCGAAGAGCAGATGACCGTTATGCCATATGACTTCCTCCACGGGAATCGCGGGTGCAGCCCACTCAGACTCCGTAGCTACGAGGCCGTGGAGCCGTATTCATGCACTCTCACACACACACAGCACCACGAGCATTCACTCTTAGAAAAACTTCTCACTATTTCAAACTGATCACCCTTTATCAGCAAGCTCCGGACGCTTCAGTGAGGATCCTATCCCTGACTTTTAAAAGAGGGTATTTTTAAGGGAATCACATTCACACTCACACACAAGAAGGGAGATAGCTTACCCAAGCGCAATCTCTTCGTTACTCACCTCTCCTTTGGGTGGAAAAACTCAGCAATATTTGAATTCGGGCCCCACGTTCAGGCGCCACCTGCCGCGGACCAGCACAGCAGTAGACGATGAGGCCGTCTCAGGGTTGAGAGACTGCGCAGGGTGGTCAGGGATTCGGTTAAAGAAATGACAAACAGACACACTTCAAGAGTGAAAATCTGAGTGTAATTTTATTTGAGTTGGTGACCAGTATATATATGTTTTCTAAAAGCATAGGAATGGCGAACATCAGTGAAGAAATCAGCTTGCTTATAGGTTTAGCTTATCATTGACAGGGCAGTGATTTACATCTGGACCCAGGCGCATTCCTAAGTAGTTAGGCTATTAATTTTTCTTTTTGTTTTATATGATTACTTTTTGTTTTAACTACTCACTATTACTATTAATTAACACAGGTGAATTTTACTTTTCACAATGTAATATTTTTATCATTTAGATTAATACTAACAAGGCTAAGTATACAACAGAGAAATTATTAAGCTAGCAGTTCTATTAATACACAGAGTTTAGTAACGTTTCATTTGAATCAGCCTAGTTATTAGATTTTGTATGTTCTTTTTTAATCGGCAAACCAATGACCTTTTAAACAGAGAAAGAGAAAAGATTTTAGAGAGACAGTTGTATTAGAATAAAGTTTGTGGGTCCAGAGAAGGTGAGATAAGTTTCCCAGCGGACAGCATTCCTGTAGTGGCTTCTGGTGGTCGTTATCTTTCAACAGGCTTCCGTCTTATCTATGTCTTCAGGCGGTTTTTTGCTGTTCTCCTCCTGCGCGCTGGTTGCCCAGCCGGACCTAGGGATTCCTAGAGGTCACTGCAGGAGGAGGTGCAGCAAGTATATCTTCAGGGGGTTTTGCTGTTCTCTGCCTGCGCGCTGGTTGCCCAGCCGGACCTAGGGACCGTGGCGCAAGCCATTAGCCCTAAGGGTCACTGCAGGGGGAGGTGCAGCAGAGCTGGGCCACCCTGTAATTCAATCCATTGCTTCCTTCATCAAAACATTCTTGGGCCTCCCTGGTGGCGCAGGGGTTGATGATAGCGCTGTCAAGCTATCGCCAGCCTCTACAGCATGAGTTCAATCCCTGCCCACCCAGGGAGCTGCGCACATGGCGCAGCAGACCTCTCCTATCTCGCCCGCTGCTCCCCTCATCAGTGTACTTCAGTCAATCTGCCTGTTCTGTTCCCCACTCTGTCTCTGGTGAATCCTCTCACCCTTCACACCTCTGGCCCGTACCCCAGCTCCTGTATGCATAAATAAATAAATACTGGATGGTCTCACTCATAGCAGGAATTTAGAAAACCTAAATAAGGGACGAGGAAAAAGACTAATACAAAGTAAAAATCAAAATCAACAAGGAACTATAAACCAGAGACATACCACGGAGGGGGAGAGGGGAGGGAAGGAAAGAGGAAGGACTAGGGTCAAAATAAGGGGGTGGGGGGTGCAATTGTATGGGGACTATAAACCAAAATGATAATGCATACATTGTGCAAAAATGGAAAATGATGTAAGAATTATATAAAATAAACTATTAATTAAAAATAGATACTAAGAGAAAAAAAATGAAATAAAAATTTGACCAGTACGATGACCTACAAATAAATATCTCCTTGATTTGTCTTTCACCAGAATGCATAAACATCTTTCATGTTTGTGGGTGATTTTTATTTCATGTTGTGAATTGCGGGTCTATAATAGTTATCAGGTGTATTAAGTTGCTTATCTTTTTCTTGATGATTTTTATGTAACCTGGATATTGGGCCTGATTCACAATTATGTGGATTCAGGGATTAGAGATTAATCAGAATACAAATGGCCAAATTTGCCATAATGCTTTAAAATCATTATCCTAATACATACCTTCCTACATGTACGATACACAGTGTGTTAATCACTCTGTGATCACTCCAGCAGCTTCTATTTGCTTTGTAAATTCATGGACTCAGGTAGCTATCATGTACCTTTGTCCTTCATTTAAGTATGAACTCAGAGGGCAGGCTCCACCCCATTCTGCAAATCACTCCAGTTATCAACTTCCCCAACAAGTTTCTGGAGTGGCAGATGGACAGTATGACTCCAAATTGCAAACAATGAAGGTGGCTTATAATCCTCAGGGGAAATGTCCGGTTCTCCCTGGGTTGGTATAATCCTGGCAACACAAGGAAGGAGTAGCTGGAAGTAGAGCAAAGATATAAACTTCAAATCCTGACCTTCAACCTGGACATTCTCTCATTCACCTTAAATTCAAATCCAAGTCTGAAATTGCAATTTTAGTGATTATTTCCCACTCAGTCTCCTTTCTATCTTGCTATTGGTATGCTTTGCCTAAAGAAGATCAACAGATATTTCTGGTTCGCAAAAGAATAGTTGAATAAAAGGAGAGAGATAATGGTGAGGCTATTTATAATTGCCAAGTTATGGACACTACCTGTGTCAGAGACACAGGTGTGGATAAAGATGTGGTGGTACATATACACAATGGAATACAACTCAGCTATGAAAAAGAAAGATGAATTCTTGACATTTGTGACGACATGAAGGGAAATGGAAGGTATATGATACTAAGCAAAATCAATCATATGAAAATAAAGAAACAGGGACCTCCCCGGTGGCACAGCAGGTTGAGCACAGTGCCGTGAAGCTGTCTGCAGCCTCTGCAATGCCGGTTCGGTTCCCGGCTGGCCAGGGAGAATCCCACATGGTGACGTAGACCTCTCCTGTCTCGCCTGCTGCTCCCCTCAGCAGTGCTTTCGGTCCATCTGCCTGTTCTGCTCCCTGCTCTGACTCTGGTGAGTCCTCTCACCCTCCCATGACTCTGGCCTATACCCCAGCTCTTGTATAAATAAAAATAAATCTTTAAAAAAATAAAGAAAATAAAGAAACAAAGCAAGCAGAAATTTGACAGAATGTAGCCTACCAGAGTGGGGGGAGACCCAATGGACTGTGGTGGTGGACAATGGGTGCCCTGAGGTGGGGGTGGTGTGGTAACATACATCTGAAGAGATGTGAATCTACACCTCTGTATTATATATAGTGGTATAAACCAATGTCACCTCAGTAAAATAGCATAATAACAAAAAGGAGCCATGATAGTGAGGTTAGCAGAGGGGTAAATTCCATAGTAATCTCTGAGAAAATGGGTCCCTTCAGTAAAATCAGTCCAGATGGGCTCCTGGGTCTCAAGGACTTATTCATGGCTGAAAGGACAGATAGGCTGTGCCAAGAGAAAGTATATGCTGACACAAGGGGTTCCCACCCACCCTCCAAGCACATACATTTTCTTTTGTCCTCTTCACTCTTGTAGGAATGAAGCTTTTCCAACAGATGATTCGGGAGCAGCTTGTGCAGGCTAGAGAGTGTCTCGAAGGTGTGTCTCAGAACCTCAGGATGGTCATAGTTTTTCGGTGTGTTGAACGTGTCCAACAGTGGAAGTTTCAGTACGGTGTGATTTTTCTTGATGGTCCCCATGATTACCCATGGAACTGGAGAGTCCACAGAAAGAATTTGAAGTGTGGTGTCCCTGGCGATTGTTCTGTCCCCCCACTTTCATCCATCTCTAAGAAGATAGCAAGGAATCTATATTTGGATCTCTGGTGGCTGAACAATCTGAGGGTCACAATGAACCTCACATCTTGGCCTGGAATCCTGAGTGCTCATCCTACAACTTCAAACCAGGGGAAATCAGCCACACTGGAAATACTGTGCCAAGTCTGACAGGGATCTGAGATAGAAACTCCACTTTCCTGTTGGACACGGACAATGTCTGAGGAAAAGAGTGATTTCCTAAAGGGAAGAAGGAATCCTGGTGAGCACTCATCCAGTGTTATTTTCCCACCTGGCATTAAGAGAGGCCGTGTACATAATTAAGCTCCACAGACCAGCTAGGCCCTGAGGGAGAGTGGTTACATCAGCATAGTTCTTGAGCTGTACTGAGGAAAGCTTCATCGTCCAAAACTGAGGAAATGTCCAGATTAACACAGGTAAAAAGTCAAGCTGCTTCTTACCCTCTTATGCAAATGAACACCGAGGAGACAAAGTAAACAAAGCAAAATGCTCCTGCCTTAGCTTTCCTGCTGGATGCCACTCTTTATCGTGGACCCAGAGCAGAACCCAGCACAAGTTCTAAATAATCCTCCACCAGCACCAAATTTGATAGCTCTGCCCCAAGCAAGAGAGAAGCTGCCAAGAACTACTCCCACATTTGGGGACAGATGCCAATAGTAAGGTTTACCGTGGCCACTTCTGCAACAGGCACAGCCACTGAGGCAGGTTCATCACAGCAGGTTCATCTCTCCTCCATGAACTGGCAGGTAATCACTTTGCAAAGTGCTGAGAAATAGGGAAAGTCATGTGGGCACAGCAAGCAATGCAAAAGCCAGTCTGCCAGCTGCTCACCAGACTTAAAACCTTTGGCCAAGGCCATTATGATGCAGTTACAAATGACTGGTCTCTCAGATAAGCATTAACAAATTTGTCTTTCCCATATTTCTTGCAATTTCCCCTTGTTTGACGGGTTTGTCTTCTTGCATTCCAAGGAAAAGGGTGTTAGAAAAAGCAAGCTGGTACCCACCTGTCTCTGTGCCAACCCCATCACCCCCTCTTTGCAGGCCCTCACCCATCTCCCCCTTTTTTTTCCCCTTTGTATAAATACCCCTGCCCTCTGCCAAAGAGCAGGACGGTTGTCTTTCAGACATGAGTCTGCTGCCCTCCTCATTTGTCAACAAATTAAATCACTTTCCTTTTCCTCAAACTCTGTTTTCTTTTATTGGCTGAGGGAAACTGAGGTTGGCGTTCGGTATCAATCATGATTAGCTCATAAAATACAACAGCGTCAAGAGCAGGAGACAGAAAAATTCACGGCTTAATGTTCAGTTAGCAGACTTAAAAAATAAAACTTTAAAAAATAAACGAAAGGTAGACTTTAAAGGAATTCCCTTTGAAATAAGTTGTAGAACTACCCAGACCTCTTAAATATAATGTGGTTCTCAACATCTCAGGAGATTTTCAGAGAGAAAGGGATTGGTGGGAGGGTTGGGGTAGAATGTTCTCATAGCCAGAGGCTACTTCCATCCAAGCACCTTGAGTTTAGGAGTTTAAATCCTTATAGGACCCAACTAGGAAAGAGCAAACTATGTGTTCCTTGGTCCACAGGCCAAGGAAATCAGCTATTAAAAGGTGGTTCTCCACACACTGTAATCCACCTATGTTTCTCAGTCGTTACTCTAAATAGCAGTTGATGGAATTTTTTTAGCTAGTTCTCTGAAGTTTATGGTCCTTGGTTGAAATCTGAAGCAAGCCAGAATGATTACCTTTTTAAAAAAGATTTATTTATTTACGCATACAAGAGCAGGGGTACAGGCCAGAGGGGTGTGTGTAGGGTGAGGGAGGCGGGAGGGTGAGATGATTCACCAGAGACAGAACGGGGAACAACAGGCAGATCAATGAAAGTACACTGTTGAGGGGAGCAGCGGACGAGACAGGAGAGGTCTGCTGCGCCATGTGGATTGTTTCCTGGCCAGCCGGGGATCGAACTCGTACTACAGAGGCTGTGGACAGCTTCACAGGCTGTGTCTCAACCCCTTGCGCTAACAGGGAGGCCCCAGAATGATTCCATTTTAGTTTTAAATAAATCATCTGATTTTGCAGTGGGTAGCACTTCCTCAAGGAACCCATCTCATTCACTTCCTCTGCTGATGGTGTGGAGAGAACACTGTTAAGGGACAGGAGTTGAGGGTGGAGAAGGGAGACCTGTGTGATCTGGACAGCAGCCAGCCACCCCCATGTTCCTGGATGAAACCCATCCTTCCGTTTTATATCTTGCTTTTCCAGTCTGCATATGTCCATGTCTAGACTTCAATGAGCAATAAATATATGTGCCTTTTCAAAGTGGCATTTGTGAGAGTACCATTTTCTCGCCAGGAAAGGTGAGAAAGATTCCTCCAAAGCCTGAAGCCTGCGATGCTTTCCTTATAGTGACAATGAGTTGCTAAGAAGGGCCGGCCGGGCCACTCAGGCGCCAGCAGTGTTATTAACTAAATTGATCCCACAGCATAGCAGCAGCAAGACCTGGGTTGTTTTTCTAGTTAGGTTGGTCTCTTATTCCTGACTTTTGGGTAACAGACATGTCCTTCAAGTCCTTTTTCTTTGTCTTTTTGTTCCAAAGAAGGCTGTTGTGTCTCCGGAGCACCTTCCCCTCTGCCATGGTGGATGTGACAAGATCAGCTGGCTTCCAGATGGCAAGGTGTTCAGCAACGTTCAAAGGGAGAAGATCATCTCCAAGTTTCTTAAAGAGAGCGTTCTAAAGAGAGTGTTCCGTGCCAAGCAGGCGCCCAGCTACCAGAAAGAGGAGTCCAGCCACAGCTTTCCTGGCACCAGAAAGTAAGTTTTGATCCTGAAACTCAAGACAATATTCAAAGGAAATTTATGATATAAAGGCAAGGAAAATAGGGCTGTGGGCACCCGGAGGGCTAGGAAGACTTAGGAAGCCATGCAAGCTCAGAAATCAAGTCTTGCAGAAAAAAATCAAAGGTGGAAACACGTGATTGAGAATTTATGCAAAGTACCAGCCGCAGCATATGCAGCAGCAACAGATGCAGAATATACTCATCGACGCATTTAGCTTCTCTGGGAAGCATATCCGTGTACAGCACTATCACATTCATTCTGGGAATAGATTTTATTTGATTTTTTTTTTCAAGATGTATTTTATGCATAAAGAGCTGGGGGTGGGGACTGAAATACACTGCTGAGGGGAGCAGCGGGGATAGGAGAGGTCAGCTGCACCATGTGAGTCACCGCCCTGGCTGGGAATCGAACTCGTGCTGCAGTGGCTACCAATAGCTTCACAGTGCTGTGTTTAACCCCTTGTACCACCAGGAAAGCCCTCATTCTGGGAATAGATTTTAAACCAGATTTCTTGTGTTTCTGCAAGAAAGTGTTTCTATCCTCCCAAGCAAGGCATTGCTAAGGAAGCAGAGAACTAAAGGTTAATTTCTAAAACCAAAAACACAACTCCAAACTAAAAATATTTTTGTTTAGATTTCTTTAAAGGGAATTCTACAGAGAGCTAGGATATTTAAAGTAAATGCTCACAGAGTTCTAAATCAAGAATAAATATAATTGGCTGTGACTGAAGACAAAACAGAATGGAGGGCCTCCCTGGTGGCACAAGGGGTTAAACACAGCACTGTGAAGCTATCCACAGTATCAGTAGCACAAATTCAAACCCCAGCCAGGGAGCTGACCTACATGGCGCATCAGACCTCTCCTGTCTCCCCGCTGCTACCCTTAACATTGCATTTCAGTAGATTTGCCTGCTCTGCTCCCCACTGTCTCTGGTGAATCTTCTCACCCCCCACACCTCTACCCTACACCCCAGCTCTTGTATGCATAAATAAATAAATTTAAAAAAATTAAAGTATGGCAAATCTCAGGCTACCACTGAAAATGGAATCCCAGCAGGCCTTAGAAGGAAGGCGCATTCTCTCAGGTCAAGGACTGATGTTAGAACTTGACCTGAGCTGCAAGGGACACGGCCCACTGTCCCCTGACTCCTTATTCTCCAGGCTGGGTCCAGTCCAGACCCGAGGGTTTGAAGAGATCATCCTTCTCTTAGTTGTTTCCCTTCTGTTTCACGTGGATGCACGACATTTCCTACTTAGTTCTGCTTCTTGGACTTTTCTCCTGACCACATAGGCGGGATGTGCCCCACACAGACTCTGCTGCCACTCTAATTTTACACCTGCAGTGCTCCAAGTTTTAATTCAACAAGGGATGTGAGGGAGGCCTGACTTTGACACTGATGTCAAGGCTTACAAAAGGCCTGCAGAGAAAGGAGGAACAGTCCAGTGAGCCTGGTCACCAGAAAGGAAGGTTTTTCAAAATATATTCTGTCAAGGTAAAAAAGTATTTGAGAGGATGTATTTATGGATGACAATTTTCAGAGGGATCAGGAATCAGATCAAGTTCTAAAAGAAAAGGAAAAGAGAGAAACAGAAACCCAACCAGGAAGATGGAGATGTAAGCTAGAAAGGTGAATTGCACCCACTCATGCACACATAAATTTTGTTCCTGTCCAGAGGAAAAACAAAACATTTCCCAGCTAGACATATCTGTAGAAAGTGTTAGCTGCGAAGGCATGGATCCCAGTATTTACCCAATGTACTATCTTTCAAGTAATTGTAAGTTGGGAAAAGTCACTGAATATTTTTAAAGTTCAGGTTACTCATTTCTAAAATAAGAATAACTAGCAGTATCAAATTCATTGTGCTGTTAACGAGTCTTAAAAATGGTTCATCTATAGAAAATGTTCAGCATGATGATAGTCACCACACCATACACCATATATTCTAGTGATGTTATTCTTGGAGCAATTTAATTCAAACATTTATTGAGTAACTGTTATCCTGTGCCAGGCACTCCACTAGAACAGGCCAGGTCTTGCCTTGAAGGTGTTGGAAAGCTTATGAGTGAAATATCATAACTGAATAATTATGTGACAGTGAATGAGAAATTATAAACAAACCATTTATATATAACCTGAAATAGGGATGTCAGAGGATCAATTAATTCTCCCTGGGGTGTCAGGGAAGACAAGTGAACTAGATCTACATGCATAGGATTTAACATGGCAGAGGGAGGGAGGAGGGTGCTCAGGGGAGTCATGCAACATCTGACACATTTGACATGTAGCAGGCCCAGGAAAGGTGATGTGCAGGCCTCTAAATCTGGCTGCAGGCCTGGCTAAGAATGTGGACTTTACTTGTTAGGCCTTCGGAGCACAAACGAACAGGTCTGTGTTTTAGAGCTACAGAATGGAAAGTAGAAGAGGCCCCAGAGACCATCTTCCAAGGGCCTAGGTAACCTCCTGTTCCCTCACCTGTCCTGTCTCCTAGGAACCTTAGCAGGTAGGCAGTGATGGAGATGCAGGATGAACCAGACAGGCAAGGCCCATGCCCGCAGAGAGTTTTACACTCTAGTGGCATCAAACAGACAACAAAAAAGCAAACAGGACAAATAAACCAGACCGCAAGGACCAGAGAATTGCAGCCGGTATTAGGAGATGCAGTGAGGTGGCTAAGGCTTCTCTAAAGTGAAGTCAGGGAGCCCTTTCTGAGAGGAAAACAGAAACACAGAGGAAGGAGACAGACATCCCTGGGCAGAGGGGGTTGGGAGTGGGGAGCAAAGATCTGAGAAACCCTGGAAATTCTTTTCAGCATCTGGTGTATCTGTATGTGTTTTTCTGGGAAATTCTCAAAGATACGTGGGATCCCCTTCGACCAAATGTTAAGAACCAGTGCATTTAGGACACCACTAAAGGACACATGTGGGCCGGGGAGGTTTGACTCTCCAGCTGGGCTTTCAACCTAACTGAGCATCAGCAACCTAACAAAAGCATCAGCAAAGGACCCCAGACATTTCTTCTTCAAATACCAACACCTCATTATGAAGGGTGCATGCCACAAGCATTTTTACTATTCATTTACCTACATGGACTTGAGCTCGATTCTCAGACACAAACATGTAAATACCCACATATTTACTACTTACATACATTCTATACATATCGTAATGCATATGTTATATCAACAGTATGCGTGTATATATTCCTCCGCCCCTACCCCATCCACCCTATCCCCACTCCCATCCTCACCCCGACTTACCTCACGCTATCCAAGTAAGAGATACTCGAAGGGCAAAACTGGCCTCCCTTGGTCTGAAGTGAATCCTAGATGAAAAAAAAACCTCAAAAACAAAACACACTCGTTTTTCTGACCATCAAGCGATGCCCCTGACCTAGAAGTGACCGTGGCGGGCACACTGTCAGCGGGCGCCTCCCTTTGCGCCCCTTCGTCCCATGTGGGCTGCCAGAGTCTGGCGAGAACTTGGCCACATCGAGCCCCGAGTCCAGCGCAGCGCCGGGCAGGGCACCCTCGGTGCGTGGCCCGGCCCTGGGGAGGAAGAGGCGGGCCAGGCCTTGGCGGCTGGGGGCCCACCCGGAGCCACCCGGGGCCCCGCTGGGTCGCTCAGGGTCAAGGTCAGGCCCCGGAAGGCGCTGACCCCCAGCGCCGGCCCCCCCACCCCCCGCCCGCCATGGCCGAGTGGCGCCGGCCGTCCCGGGGGCACGGATGCCTGCGGACCCCCTCCGGGCCCAGCAGCTGGGCCGCCGCGCCTGCGGACGCCGGTACCCGGTGGCCCCAGTGGAACGCGGGGCCGCGGCGGGTGGCGCCGCTCCAGGACCGGGGCCGCGGGGCCCGGCCGCCAGCGAGGCCGCCCTGGGCACCCCCCGCGCCCGCCCGCGGGCCCCGCCGGCCGCCCGCCCGCGGCCCGCTGCCCGCGCTGCCCTCCCTGTCCCCCCGCGGCAGGAAGGCCGAGCCGGACGCGGCGCCCGCCAAGCCGCACGCGGAGGCGCCGGGGCCTCGGGGCGCCCTCGGGGACGACGCCGGGGACGACACGTGGGCCACGGGGTAAGAGTGGCCGCCCCGTCCCAGGCCCTCCCTTCCAGGCCGCCGCCCCACGCCGGGCCCGACCCCTCTCTCGGGCCCCCTCCCAGCCGCGGCCCCCCGCCCCCCAGCCGCCCGCGCCCCCCCCAGCCGAGCAGAAGCGGGAGCGCCACCCCCACCCCCCGCCGCCCCACTTAGCCCTCGCCCCACTTCTCAGCACCACCCGCCCCTACAGACAATAAATTGTAAACGTTGAGAAAATAGCTGATGACTGCGGTGGCTTTCATGTGCGAGTCTTTCTGAGAGCCAGAGATTCGATGGTTTTTACCTCAGGCCGGGGTGGGCGGAGGCGGCGCATGATAGTTTGGTCTGGAAAGCGGTGTTGGCTCCTGAGGGCCTGTTAGTGTCTCTGAACTGTCTGGGGCGCGGGCCCGCCTGGGGCTTTCATCCCGCAATCCAGAAGCTTTGAATGCCTGGGACAGAACTAGCCCTCTGTGGTAAGTTCCAGAGAATTCCTTGTCTTTTGTCTAATTTGTATTTTATCCTCCTGCCTGATGTCTCCTTTCTCACCCTGGCATTTCCTAATCTTCTGTCAGGAGATCTTCCCACTGGCTGGGCCCTCTCTGCCCCCATTTTCTGACTGAGTAGCTGGTTGACTACCTGATGCTGTCCCCAGCCTGCCTTCCTAGGCCCCTCCCCTGCTTCCTAAGCATTTTCTTCACCTCCTTTAGTTGGGGAGCCAAAGCTCATGTTTTCTCTTAAATAAATGTTGTGCCTCACCCATCCATGTGCCTGTCCCACAACCTGTATAGGATTTTAAGGGAACACAGGACCAGCTACAGCAAAATGGGGAGAAGAAACGGGGAGACCGGTGGCACCAACCTGCGGGCCTCAGACATCTCTCATGAGGTATGGCAGATGCTGTTGAACTTGAGTGTTTGGGTAGCGGCTCCCCTTGAGTGTTTAGGTAGCGGCTCCCCTATTGCCCCTTCTGCAGAGGCCCCTTGCTGCTTTCTCTCTGCCAGAGGTCTGTACCGAGTCCTCTCTTGGAACATATGAAACAGAGAAAGTTTCTTTCTTTTCACAAAGCAAAAGTTAGCCAGCCTCTCTAATTCGCCAACATTTCCTATAGCAATTGGGTTTTGTTAAAGATGCTACTTGATCAATCAGGCAGTATTTACCTTTTTAAAGCTTCTCACACATGTTTTGTGGGAAAATGTTGGTAAGGCAGATGGGCTCTTGAAAAGGGGAACCCACCCCAACCATTCGGGAGTTTGCAGTCTAGCTGACACCACATGTGATGTTGAGTCTCGCTTGCCACTTTCCACATTTGATGATTTTAGTTTTATTGTTAATATAAGACTAGTTCTCTCACATGTTATGTTGTACTTGAGCATGCTAGGATTACATGACTGAAAGAAACTTGAGAATCTATCAGGGAGGTTTTAAAAATACAGATAAGTGGAACTTAACGTTAATCCTGATGAATCAGAATCTGTGGTATTTTTTTTCAACTGTTATTTTTTAAAGGCTCCCCCAGTGAGTATCATGTAGAGACTAGACCTGTACCGAGGGAGCAGAGAACTTTACTTATTTTTCAAAAATCTCCAGAGAAAATCACCTGTGGCCTATCTTCCAGTGTTCAACTACCCTTTCTTGTCTCCAAGGAGACAACTTCCTTGCGGGTCAACTAAATCTCCACACGGACTTTAAGCTCATTTCTGCCTGTTCCACCTCAGTGTGGAGAGCTGATACTGAACTCCTAGCACTTCATTTGGATATTGGTTAGAGTTTAATATATAAAGGGGTTTTCTTGTTTGAGATAGAAAACAACAGAGTTCACTTCTTAAAAATTACTTAAACTGCCTCATCATTTCCCCTTCTCTAGGATAAGTTATTACAAGCCTCTTCTATACACACTCCATATTTCCCTCCCAGAGTGCTCGGCACAGTTTCCAGAATTCCCCCAGTCTTTCTTAGCACCGTTCTCATTCCTTTGGGGGTTTTCTTTGGGATATTTCCTGAGAGTTACTCAATATCTGGAGTCTAGGATGTGCCGGGGACTGATCAGCGTCAAGGATGATGTGACGATGAGAGGGTTTTCTTTGGTTGATGGAAAAATTTTATAGGCTTTCAGGTCTGGTATTCAGATACAGAAAATTTAGTGAATGTACCCTATGGACCAGGAATACCCTGAACTGGACATTTTATTCTCTCCTAAACATCTAATTTGGAAATCTGTGTGCCATGACTTTTAAGAAAATGAGAATGAAACTGTAATTATTGTAAGAGCCTTTCCATGTCTGCACTATGTTGTCAAAAGCTGATAGGTCAGATAAGAGGCCATGGCCCACTCCTTGGAAATGCTGGCCTGTCCTTACGGGAGGGAGGGGCCTTGTACCTTTTGTCATCCTTTGCCCAAAGGGCATGTAACATCATGCATAGAGCTTTTGAACTTTCCTTAACATTATCTTAAAATGAATATTGTTTTAGAACTTACCTCACTGGAGCGTGGATTCAGAAGGACCTGTGTCTGAAAATAAAAACCACCTCCCTGGAAGGGAGAGTGCAGCAGGTGGTAAGAAACTCTAGCTATCTTTACACCGATAATTGTAAACACATGGAGATTTATATTTATAACATGAATAGCTGCTCATATTAAAGGGGGTTTGCTTTTTGATATAACCAGTGTTGTTTAATTATTAATTGTCATTTTTTCATATACATTCTTTCAGGCAAAATTAACAAGGTAAGGATAAATGTTTGGTTTTAAATAATTCAGAAAACTGTATTAAACATTATATGTATATATGTTCTTGAAAAAAAGTTTCTTTCCTCAAAGTTAAACTTTACATTTCCCTTCTATAGAGTTCTTTAAGCAAGTCAAAGCCTTTACTGTTTTCCAGGGGTGCAAATTGGTTATTCAATTAATATTATATTAAGTTAATATAACAATATTGTAAGTGAAAATTAACATTGTAGATAGTGAAAATATTGTTTTCTAGAGATTGCAAAAAGGGAAGTAGTCTCGGCCCTTAAGATATCATAAAGCTATTGAAATGTTTAACATATTATTATTAGTGTGAAAATTTATCTTTCATTTACCTTTTTTTGATCAAAAGATAAAATACCTCCTATTAGAAGAAAGACAGTCTTTCATGATATTCAAGACTCATTAGGTTACACTTAGTATTAATGATTAAAGTCATTGCTGCTGAAGCCAGCAAAAACAAATGACGTCTGTGTGGATTAAAGAGGAGTATCCAAGGATTTGACTGCATATTTCTTGGTTAGAACAAGAACTGTACATTCTTAGAAGAATAGGGGAGCAGAGATATGTTGTGTTCAAAAGTTTCCTCTGCTTTATAGAACCATCTGGAAATTCCAATAGAGCAAATGATGCTAGACCTTAATTTGTCAGAGCCTGCTCACAAAATAACACAGGTGGGGATTTATTCATCATACTCTTAGTAAAGTGTTGTTTAGAAATCCATGCAGTCACTAAATTGTCCATGGTTTTTCTCTTATCAGAATAGTAAACAAGGGTCATTTCAGTTATGGGGTTATCCTCTTAACGAAGGAAGTGCCACAGAGAACAGGTGAGCGCGTACTTACTTATTTTTGTGAACCCCTAAATGACTAAAACAAAGTCAACTACGGATGCGATAACTACTCGTCTGAAATTCTAGAACCGAACACAACTAGAAGAAAAAAGCATTGTGTACAAATAGTGGGAGATTACAGAGACTTGCCCTTCACCAGGGCATGTGACTGGCAGACCCCACGGAGATAACCGGGACATGGGTGATTAAGCCTTTACTTCCCTTACAAGAAGTGTTAAGATGGATAGAGTTTGGACCTGTTTTTTGAAGGGAAGAGGAATTGTAATAGAAAAGTAATTTCCCACGTGCGTGGAAGAATTTAAATTCATTGAACCCTCATTGAACTCAGTGAATAATCACAGCAATGCTATAAGGTAGGTTCTGTCACCATCACCCTGTTTTACAGATGATAACACTGAGGCTGACAGGCAGTTCACCTAGGCCACACCATCAATGACTGGTAGAACCAGGTTGTAAAAGTAGCTTGGTTCTCGCTCATCACCATTATGCTATATTACTTCTCAGATCTTACCTGGGTTTGAATGCTTTTATATAGAGAGATAGATAGATATAGTGTGTGTGTGTGTGTGTGTATGTATATATATATATATATATATATATTAAAAAGGTGTGTTTGTGTGTACATATATATATTTTTTGTTCTTAAATTTTCTTTTTTTTTAAGATTATTTATGCATACAAGAGCTGGGGTACAGGCCAGAGGTGTGGGAGTGAGAGGATTCAGCAGAGACAGAGTGGGGAACAGAACAGGCAGATTGACCAAAGTATACTGCTGATGGGAGCAGCGGGCGAGTTAGGAGAGGTCTGCTGCGCCATGTGGGTTGCTCCCTGGCTGGCGGGGAATCGAACCCTTGAACTCATGCTGCAGAAGCTGAGGACAGCTTCATAGGTTGTGTCTTAACCCCTTGTGCCACCAGGGAGGCCCCTCTTAAATTTTCATGTGTATTAGAACCAGCTAGAATGTTTCTTAAAAACACAAATTACTGTTAATTCGAAATTAACACTTCATCGAGCCTTGTCATGTCACCTTTATGCACAGTGTATTTCTTAATGGAGATCCTGAAGTCTGTTCCTCTCTTTTGACCCAGTTTCACAACAGGGTGGTTCCCTTGATAACAATTACTTCCTAATCTGATGATTTTACCTCTGATAGGCTCAGTGAAGCTCACCTCAGGCTGGAATTTCAGGGGTGAATCTGGGAAGCACAGTGACTAATGTTCAGTGGAAAACTGGTGCCTGCAGGGTAGGAGAGACTGGAAAGAACTCAGCTGGGAACAGGAATTTCAATGAGAGGTCAAATTAAGTCAATTTTATCACATGGACAGAGGAGCAAACACAAACTGAGGCAGTCAAGGGCAGCAGCCAAGGCCACGGACCTGGGGTCCCAGCACATGGCTTTGATTCCCAGCTCTTCCACTTACTAGATGCGCAAACCTCACCTGTCTGTGCCTCAGTTTCCTTACCCATAAAAGGTAGAAAATCAAAGTGCCTGTCTCACGAGGTTGTTGCGGGACTACCCAGAATAATGTGTTTATAGCTTTTCATTATTGATACTGGAAGGGCCTGATAAAGGGCAGAGTTAGAAGTTGGGCATCCGTGAAAGATTAGTCTTCTAATCTAGTCTTCTAACCTCCAAATTTCATGCTCTTTTTTTTTTTAAGATTTATTTATTTATGCATATACAAGACGTGGGGTACAGTCCAGAGATGTGGGGGGTGAGAGGATTCACCAGAGACACAGTGGGGAACAGAACAGGCAGATTGACTGAAATACACTGCTGAGGGGAGCAGCAGGCGAGACAGGAGAGGTCTGCCTCGCCACGTCTCTCCTACCTACTCCTAAAACAAAAGTGCACCATCAGGTGAACATTACTGTGGGCTATGTCTGGAGTAATTTTTAATAGCCATTGTCTTGTTTCTTTGTATATTAGAATAATTTTTAAAAAGCATAATGGATAGGGCCTCCCTGGTGGTCTTGGGGGTAAGCCTCAGCATTACCACTGCGATCCCCTCCGAAGCAGCATGAGTTCAGTCCTCACTGGGGACTGAAGTGGGTGCAGCAGACTTCTCCTTTCTCGCCCACTGCTCCCCGCAGCAGTATATTTCAGTAGATCTGCCTGTTCCACACCCCACTCTGTCTCTGGTGAATCCTCTCACCTGCCCCCCACCTCTGGCCGACACCCCAATTCTACGCAAAAATAAATAAATAAAATCTTAAAAGCATAATGACTAAAGTAAAACCCTTTATTAAGTAACCTTCATTAGGTAACATTCTAAGTGTCTTTTTTTTTAAAAAAAGATTTATTTATTTATGTATACAAGAGCTCGGGTATAGGCCAGAGGCGTGGGGGGTGAGAGGATCGACCAGAGATAGAGTGGGGAACAGAATGGGCAGATTGACCGAAGTACACGGCTGAGGGGAGCAGCAGGTGAGACAGGAGAGATCTGCTGCCCCATGTGGGTTGCTTCCTGGCTGGCCGGGATCGAACTCATGCTGCAGTGGCTGCGGTTTGCTTCATAGTGCGGTGCTTAAACCCTTGCGCCACCAGGGAGGCCCCTAAGTGTCTCTTTTTATCTAACTCTAGGCCAATAGACATTTCACTGTAATTTCAGTTTGCACTGGATAGCCTCTTTTTCAGACTTCTTAACTGCATGTACAATATGTTCAAAGATAAATATATAAAATTAGTCTAGTGTTCCTCAGGCACTAGATTGCTCTCCACCTGAGAATGGACAATGGAATGCCCAGTTAATATCTCAATCTATACTTTTCAAAATTGCATACATTTCACTGTGATTAAGGCATATTAGGAAATTAACATTTCTGTTACAGCTAGGTAGATCAATGTGTCACTGGGAACTAAACATTAAACAGTCTTTGATAAAGGTTATTTGTTATCATTTTGACAGCATTTTCATTCCAGGCAACAAGTCATTCATTCATGAAATCATTTTTTTCAGGGATTTCAAGAAATCTTCAATGGAGACTGGCTTTAATGTAACCAATAATTCCAGAAGGCTGTTTACGATGAACGACCCTCTTAGTGCCTCAGTTGATAAGCAAATTGGTTCCTACCCTAGTCTGCAGATGCCTTTAGGTCTCTGCTGGCCCTACGCTGACGGAGACTTTTTTAAGGACAGAATGGAACCTCGCCTTACTTTGTATTCAACTGAAGACATCAACAGTGACATTTTCTCTCCGCTGAACTGGAATTTGAAATATGGAAACAGCAGCGTGGAAGAAAATTTAACAGATGAAAGCGATTTATCAGAAAATGAAAAAGCAAATGACACTTTACTGAGCTATTTTAAAAAGATGGACCTGAACTTAAAACCAGAGACAATAGACACCGTTGAAGAGCCTTTCACAGAGGAATCGAGTGAGGTATTCCCGTATCCTGATTTTCTCCCTCCTCCTTTCAACACCCTGGACTTGCACAAATTGGCCCTTTCAAAATCTGAGAGTTGGAAAGGGACCATGGAACCTGCAGAAAGCTCTGTTGATCGCTTGATAACCCGTTTACTGGAAATGGAAAGAGTACAACACTTGACTGTACAAAAAGAGCGGCCAAGGCTGCCCTCCACCTTCTGCACCCTGGCAGTTAATGAACGACCGTCTTCCTCCAAAGCTCTATCCAAAGGGAGACAGCCAAAGCTTTCTGACTCTTTAAGTCTTCAGACAATGGGTATAGATAAAAATCGAGAAAAAAGGAAAAGCAGTTCTGGTCCTTTCAGCCTGGAACAAAATGCTGCAAAATGGAACTGGAGCAATGCTGGGAAATACAAGTGGAGTTCTAGGCCATCTCTAAAAAGCTCCACCTCTGCGAAACAATTGATTGCAACTTACAAAGACTTCAAGAGTCCCAAAAGTTCCATTTTAATTCCATGCCAAGAACTCTCTGCTAAGCAAGTGACTGCCCAGACAACTCCATCACTGGTTAAAATGGTCTCGGCTAGATGTCTGCCACCGAGGTCTCCGGTCCATGTTTCACCCCTCCCTCTGTCTTTTCCCGAAAACCAGAGGGAAGAAATTAAGGCATCAAGGACCAAAAAGAAACTTTACCGAAAAAATATAGCATTGGACAGACCGTTCTATATTCAGAAGCTAAACTGTCTGTCACCATCATTTATAGTGAAGGATAAGTGCTCACCCATTAACCAAAAGTAACACTGTTCTTCCATGTGAGCACATCTGTTCCAAGAAGTCCGGCTAAAATATGGTTCATCATGCAGAAGATACAGGTAATAAAATCACACACAAAACAATTGCTCCATATGATACAGAGTGGGGCTTGTGAGAATCTCTGCTGAGATGTCTGTGTAGACCCTGGCGCTCCTAGACGGGGAGAGGGGACATCTTTTGCACGTTATGTTGCAGAGAAGTGTTCACTTAATAAACTAAGGCATTTGAGTCAAAAGATTATTTGTTTCCAGTTGTAACTCTGTCATCAATAAATGGTATAAATAAAGTATTCCCACTGTCGTCTTTTATTGTGTTCTTAGGCGGTCCTACGTGAGGCCATTATTTGATCAGTGATGTCTTTGGTTCTCTGGTACTTTTTTTGCTTTCCCTCCTCATCTCCACAAACCTCCTTTGTCTACTCTTTTGACCTCTGGGTATTTGTTTGGCTCTTCAAAGCTCAAGTTGGTCTTCTGTTAAATTAACATACAAGATCCAGAAAGCCCTATGAGTCATAGGCTTTCCATTTCCCAGGCACTCTCATCATATTCAGGAGAGCAAGACCAGTTCTCTTTGGGGCCCAACCTCAGGTTTAGGCATGAAACAGTCCTCTTCTACTCAGCTCAAATAGTCGAAAGAAAAATCTATTGTATGTTTATATATATATATAAAAAAAAGAAATAAACAACTGCTTCACAAAGAATCTGCTATCTCAGATTTAACCTAATCAGTGAGGTGAAGAACCTAGGCAAGAAATACTACAAGACATTATAAACGGTTTAGATCATGACACAAGGAGATGCAAAGACAGTCCATGCTCATGGATAGGAGAATCAATATAATTAAAATTACTATTCTTCCTAAAGAAATAAATTTAATGCAATCCAATGCAATGCAAAACACCAATTACACACAAGGAAATTTAACAAAAAATACTGAAATTTATATGAAACCATAGAAGGCCTCAACAGCAAAAGCAATCCAGAGAAAAAAGAAAAGTGGAGGTATGACATTTTTTGATGTTAAACTATACTATAAAGTGATGTTAATTAAAACAATATCATATTACCATGAAAATATACACCTACCTCAATGAGAACAGAATCCAAACCCCAGGGCATCCCCGGTGGTGTAGGGGTTAAGTCTCAGCACTATCACTGGTATAGCCTGAGATAGATCCCCAGCCAGGGAGCTACACGCATGGTGCAGCAGACCTCTTCTGTCTCCCCCGCTGCTCCCCTCACCAGTGTATTTCAGTAGATCTGCCTGTTCTGCTCCCTCTCACCCACCACACCTCTGGCCTACACCCCAGTTCTTCTGTGCATAAATAAATAAATCTTAAAAAATATCAAAAGCCCAGAAATAAATCCATATACATAGCACCACTTAATTTGTGATAAAACAGGTATGACTATACAATGGGTAAAGTAGAGTCTCCTTAACAAATTGTGCTGGTAAAACTGGAAGGCCATATGTAGAAGATCTGAAGTTAGATAACAAAGTCCATGCACAAAAATAAATTTAAAAATGGGTTGAAGAACTTAGATATAAGAACTGTAACAATAAAACATGTTGAAGAAAAAATTGATGATACATTCAATGACAAAGATGTTTTTGGAGACTTGACTCCTATGACTAGGGAAATAAAAGCAAAAATTAAAAAATGACATTACCTTAAAAGAATTTTTAAAGATTCAACTAAAAAGCTGTTGAAAGTAATCAACAAATTAAAATTGCAGGACACAAAGTTGACACACAAAAATCAGTTGCATTTCCATATACTATTAAGGGAACCTCTGAAACTTATAAACTATCCCACTTTCAAAAGCATCAGATCAAAATAGTAAAGCAGCATTAAGTTTAACACAGGAGGGTAAGGTCTCAACACTGAACACTCTAGGACACTGATGAGAGAAATGGAAGTAGACACAAACCAAAGGAAAGACATCTTTGTATTCCTGGGTCAGAAGAATGACTTAAAAATTCTAACTACTTAAATCATCTATAGATTCCACAAAAGGTTTACAAAAAAAAAATCCAATAGAAGCATCTGCAGAAATCGAAAAAATATTTCTAAAATGTATATATGACAAAACACCCAAATACTCAAAGAAGTTCTAAGAACAACAGAGCTGGAGGCATCACGCTTCCTGACTGCAACCTCCATTACATATCCATAATCACGAAAACAGCATGGTGCTGGGATAAAACAGACAACTGGACCCATGAAACAAAAAGCCCTAAATTAAACTCCCACATGCATGGCTGACTCTTATTTGATAAAGGAACCAAGAACAACTATTTGGCAAGGGTTGTACCTTCAAGTCATGTTGGGAAACCTGAATAAGTAAATGCAGGAAAGTGACACTGAATTTCAATCTTACACTAGTCACAAAAATTAACTCAGAATGGATCAAATACTTCAACAGAAAGCCTGACCATAAAACTCCTACAAGAAAAGAGAAGTTCCTCACTTTAAGTCTTGAAAAAGATTTTTTGGAAATGAAACAACATTCTTAGTACCAACAAATAAACCAAAAGTGGAACTACATCATAATTTAAAGCTTTTTTTTTTTTTAAGATTTATTTATTTGTTTGTTTGTTTGTTTATACAAGCACTGGGTACAGTCAGAAGTGCGGGAGGGTGAGAGAATTCACCAGAGCCGGAGCGGGGAGCAGAGCAGGCAGAAGAACGGAAGTACACTGCTGAGGGGAGCAGCGGGCGGCAGGAAAGGTCTGAGCACCATGTGGGACCCTCCTCCGGTGGCAGGGGAGCAGCCGGGGATTGAACCAGCGCTGCAGAGGCTGCGGGCAGCTTCGCAACCCAGCGCTAAATAGCTGCGCCACCGGGGAGGCCCAATTTAAAGCTTTGGCACAAAAAAATAATAAATAAAAAAAAATCTAAAAAATGGGAGAATTTTTTTTTTACAAACTATATGTCAGGTACGGGGTTAATATCTAAAGTATAAATATTGTTGAACTATATAACCTATATATATAATATATACTAACCAAAATATATACATATATATTCTTTATATATTTCATATCGGCACATGAAATAGACATTTCCCTAAAAAGACACCTGAACCACCAATAGGTAATCAAATGATGTTCACTGTCACTAATCAACAGGAAAACGCAAATAAAAAACCACAATAAGATAGCATCTCATGGGCTTCCCTGGTGGCGCGGGCGGTTCATCACGGCGCTGCGAAGCTATCCACAGCCTCTGCAGTGCCAGTTCGATCCCCGCCAGCCGGCGAGGGTCCCACATGGCGTGGCAGGCCTCTCCTGTCTCACCCACTGCTCCCCTCAGCAGTGTATTTCGGTCAGTCTGCCTGTTCCGTTTCCTGCTCTGTCTCTGGTGAAACCTCTCACCCTCCCGCGCATCTGACCTGTACCCCATTTCTTGTATAAAGTAAATAAATCTTTAAAAAAAAAAAAAGATAGCCTCTCATGCTTGTTAGAATGGTAAAAGTCAAGAAGGCAAAACTATTAAATGCTGCTGAGAATTTAGAAAAATGGGATGCAGCATGAACATCCAATATGGCAAATGGTATAAACTTTTCAGATTTAAAATAGTTTCTATGGGGCCTCCCTGGTGGCGCAAGGGGTTAAGCACCACACTATGAAGCAATCCGCAGCCTTTGTAGCACTAGTATGATGTCTGGCTGGCCAGAGAGAAAGCATGGCAAAGCAGACTTCTCCTGTCTCGCCCACTGCTCCCTCAGCATTGTATTTAAGTTAGTCTGCCTGTTCTATTCCCCACTCTGTCTCTGGTGAATCTTCTCACCCCCTGCATCTCTGGCCTGTACCCCAGCTCTTTATGCATAAGTAAATCTTCAAAAATATATAATAAAATAGTTCCTATGATCCAGCTATTCTGTTTATTTATACAAATAAAACAAAAATACTCAAAAAGATGTGTTACACCCAAGTTATTACAGCATTGTTCACAATAGCCCAAATATGGAATCAATCTAATGCCCATCAGTGGATGATGTGTGATATTTCTATAACTAATGACATATAGGTATATATCAGGCTATAAGATACATAGATAGTGCTAGAGGGATATGTAGTCACACATTACACACTGGAGCATTGCTCAGCCAGGAAAAAGAAGTCCTACCACTAGTAATGACATGAATGAACCTTGAGGATTTGCTATATAAGTCAGAGAGACCAAGAGATACTGTATTGAATCTCTTACAGTAGAATACAAAAGAGCAAAACTCTTAAAAATCAAGGGTAGAATGGTGGTTACCAGAGACTGGGGAACATAAACCTGAAACTATCAGTGAATAATTCCTGGAGATACAATATAGTGGATATAGACAACAACATTCCCTTATAAATCTTGCTAAGAAGGGTCCCCCTAGTGGCCCAAGGTGTTAATCTCAGCTCCGTAAAGCTATTTATCGGCAGCCACTGCAGTGCAAGTTCAATCCCCAGCCGAGGTGACCAACATGGTACAGCAGACCTCTCCTGTCTCACCTGCTGCTCCCTCAGCAGTGTATTTCAGTGGATCCACCTGTTCTGTTCCCCACTCTGTCTCTGGTGAATCCTCAGACTCCCGCCCCCCCCCCACCTCTGGACTACACCCCAGCTCTTGTACACATAAATAAAAATAAGTCTTTAAAAAAAATCTTGCTAAGAAACTTGATTCTAATTTTCCCAACCATAAGCAAAAATAATTCTGTGACATACTGGAGATGCAAACTATTGTTATTAAAGGCAGTCATATTACAATATATAAATATATCAAATCAACATGCTGTACACTTTAAATTCACAATTACATGTCCCAACATATTTAATTTGCAAGATAGGCAAATGAAAAAATGTTCATCAACATTTATCAGGGAAATGCAAATCAAAACCACACTGAGATACCACCTCACACCGTTGAGAATGGCCAATATCAAAATGACAAAAAAGACGTGCTGGCAAGGGGAGTGGAGAAAAAAGAACCCTTGTGGGAATGCAGACTGCTCCAGCCCTAATGCAGACTGCTCCAGTGTGGTGGTTTCTCGAAAGATTAAAAATGGATCTGCCATATGATCCAGCAATTCTACTCCTAGGCATTTGCCAAAAAATACAAACACAGCACTTGGAAAGGAAACTGGCACCCCAAGTTCACTACAGCACTATTTATAATAGCCAAGATAGGAAAACAACCTAAGTGCCCAAAAACAAGTTGAATGGGCAAGATGGTGTGGTCTATAGACAGTGGAATATTACTGAGCAGTAAAAAATGATAAACTAATGTGATTTGCAGCAACACAATGGCATTGGAAGGGATGGTGCTAAATGAAATATGCCAGAAGGAGAAAGAAATACTGGATGGTGTTGCTAATATGGGGATTGTAGAGAACCAAAACTAAGAATCAGAGAAAAACACACTTAAAAACTAACCCTTGAAAGATGACTACAGAATGGAAGCACCCAGAAGGAGGGGAGGTGGGAGAGGGTAAGATCAAAGAGGAAAGGAAGCACAACGGACTGTGGTAGGGGACTGGGGGTGATTTGGTGGCAGGTGCACCACGGTGGTGATACCTGATGGGGAGGATCCTAGTGTTACCTTAATTAAAAGAAGTTAGTAAAAATAAATGAAAACAATGGCATCCTATTAGTCCATAACAATATACATCCATTATACAAAATTTTAAATATTACCAAAGTACTTTAGAATGTCAAATTCTATATGACCATTCAGTCTTCACCCAAGAAACCAATGCGACCAGTTTAGCACTGAGTTCTCTACAGAATTGTACATGGTAAAAAATAATTTTTAAACATAGATACAAGAACATTTTCCACACTACAAGATGGTCAAGTATCAGGCTGGTAAAAACATAGTCTTTAGTTGCTAACTTCATTTTGCTAAGAAACTGAATGAGTAATTTGTAAAGTTTTTTAAAACTTTTGTCAGTTGACACTGTATATAGCAAAGTTTCTCTAATGAAAGAAAAACTGATTATTTTTTATCACTAACCTTTAAAATAATAAAGCACAGGACTTACCTGGTAGTGCAGGGGTTAAAATCTCAATGCTATCAAGCTATCACCAGCCACTGCTGAATGAGTTCAATCCCCGGCCAGGGAGGTGACCCACATGGTGCAGTAGACCTCTCCTGTTTCAGTCACTCTGCCTGTTCTGCTCCCCCCTCTGTCTCTGGTGAATGCTCCCATCCCCTGCACCTCTGGCCTGTACCCCAGCTCTGGTATGCATAAATAAATCTTTAAAAAAAAGAAAAGTATAAGATGTAAAAACTTTCTCAGATACATACATCCCTAGCAATGCATTAATAAATTAAAAACACTCGCTAAAGCAGAAATAGAAGGAAATTACTTCAGTGTATTAAAGGCCACCATCACATTCAATAGTGGAGGATTAAAAAACATTTCCTCAATAATAACAAAAAACACACTGATCCCATGTAACCAGTCATTCACCATAAAACTGGATGTCCACGCAGAACAATTAAGCAAGGAAAAGATCGTTTTAAATGATCCAAGTAAGAACAGAAATAGTCATCTCTATTCAGAAACGACATGACATGTAAAAATCACAAAAATTCCACTTAAAAAATGAGAACTCAATTATCAATTTGTAGTATATGTACACATCAAAATGAGATGTTTCCATATGCCAGAGTATGCTTTAAAATATAAATGATATAATAACATTTACGGTCACATTACAAAAATAAAATATCTAGAATTAATGTTGAATGTGAAAAACATATCATAAATACTATGAAATAATGCTTGAGGAACATAAAGAAGCCACAAATACAAACACACCCCAAGGTCTTTCACTGGAATTCATACTATTTTAAAGCAATTGACACCACCCAAAGTGATCTATACATTTCCTATCAAAATTCCAAGGACATTTTGGGAAAAATAGAAAAACACATTCTGAAATTCATATGGAACAGCAAAGGACAGTGACTATCTAGAAAAATCTTGAAAAGGTAGAACAAGTTTGTGGCATCATGCTTCCTGATTTTAAAGGCTTTCCAAAGCTGTAATTATCAAATATTGCAGAATGGACAGCAACAGAGAATGGGGACAAAATCAAGAACCCAGACAGAGATTCTCATGCCAAATAGCATTGACAAAGGTGACTCTACTACAAATGTGAAACCGACTCTTAACATTATTGCTTGTTTGGAAAACCTAATGCCCACATGTAAAAGATGTGGACCTTTACCTAAAACCATATGCAAATAGGCACTCAAAATGGATTGAACAATGGATAAACATAATATTGTAACAATAAATTTCCTAAAATAAAACACAGTAATAAAGCGTCATGAAATCTGATTGTAAATGCTTTCTTGCCTCTCCGGCAGCTGCCCAAGATGCACAAAGGAAGACCAAGGGATACAAGTGGCTCTGGCTCCACCACCGGGACACACAGCCCAAAGGCACTTCACCCACTTTGAGGTCCTGCGACATCGACTCCAGTGGCAAAGGCTCCTTTTTAAGGTACTGAAAGTACCTTCCTCCATTAACCTGTTCACCTGGACTTTGCCTCGCTGGCAGCACTCAACTGCTTAATCTGGCCCACAAGTACAGACGAGAGGCCAAACAAGACAAGCAGAGGCTTGGCTGCACTGAGCAGAAAGTGGTGGCAATGGGGATGTCCACACCACCAAAAGCAGGAGTGAATACAGTCACCTCTCCTTGGTGGGACAGGAAGGCTCTGCTCACAATGACTACACATGACCTGGATCCCATCACGCTGATTTTCTTCCTGCCTGCCTGGGTTGGAAGATGGGGCCCCCTCTGCCTTATCATGGGGAAGGCTGGGGTGGGACATGTGGTCCTCAAGTGGACTTGTACCATCACCCTTCACACAGGTTAACTCAGAAGACAAAGGAGCCAAGCTGGTGGGAGCTAGCAGGCCAGTGACAATGACAGACATGATGAGATCTGCCATCACTTGGGGGGCAACAAGCTGGTTGCAAAATCTGTGCCTCCCACTGGTAGCCG